CCTCGAGCGTACTCAGGGATCACTCCTCAACTCCCACACTCCAAATCACCCCGGCCGACGAGCGTTCTCGTCGTGCAGGCCGAGCGTTCTCGGTCACCGGGTCCTGTCCGTAACTCACCCCGGCCGACGAGCGTTCTCGTCGTGCAGGCCGAGCGTCCTCGGTCACCGGGTCCTGTCCGTAAATCACCCCGGCCGACGAGCGTTCTCGTCGTGCAGGCCGAGCGTTCTCGGTCACCGGGTCCTGTCCGTAACTCACCCCGGCCGACGAGCGTTCTCGTCGTGCAGGCCGAGCGTTCTCGGTCACCGGGTCCTGTCCGTAACTCACCCCGGCCGACGAGCGTTCTCGTCGTGCAGGCCGAGCGTCCTCGGTCACCGGGTCCTGTCCGTAAATCACCCCGGCCGACGAGCGTTCTCGTCGTGCAGGCCGAGCGTTCTCGGTCACCGGGTCCTGTCCGTAACTCACCCCGGCCGACGAGCGTTCTCGTCGTGCAGGCCGAGCGTCCTCGGTCACCGGGTCCTGTCCGTAAATCACCCCGGCCGACGAGCGTTCTCGTCGTGCAGGCCGAGCGTTCTCGGTCACCGGGTCCTGTCCGTAAATCACCCCGGCCGACGAGCGTTCTCGTCGTGCAGGCCGAGCGTTCTCGGTCACCGGGTCCTGTCCGTAATCACCCCGGCCGACGAGCGTTCTCGTCGTGCAGGCCGAGCGTCCTCGGTCACCGGGTCCTGTCCGTAAATCACCCCGGCCGACGAGCGTTCTCGTCGTGCAGGCCGAGCGTTCTCGGTCACCGGGTCCTGTCCGTAAATCACCCCGGCCGACGAGCGTTCTCGTCGTGCAGGCCGAGCGTCCTCGGTCCCGGGTCCTGTCCGTAAATCACCCCGGCCGACGAGCGTTCTCGTCGTGCAGGCCGAGCGTCCTCGGTCACCGGGTCCTGTCCGTAAATACCCCGGCCGACGAGCGTTCTCGTCGTGCAGGCCGAGCGTCCTCGGTCACCGGGTCCTACCTGAAAGTCACCGGCGCCCGACGGAGCTCGCCCTTCTCAGGGCGCCCGTACGCGTGTCCGCGTTGGAAACTCTAGCAATAAGTCGTGTCCGCGTCCGTATAATCTGGTCGCGTCTCGTCCGTAATATTTCTATCCGTCAATCCTAGCAATAAGTCGTGTCCGCGTCCGTATAATCTGGTCGCGTCTCGTCCGTAATATTTCTATCCGTCAATCCTAGCAATAAGTCGTGTCCGCGTCCGTATAATCTGGTCGCGTCTCGTCCGTAATATTTCTATCTGTCAATCCTAGCAATAAGTCGTGTACGCGTCTGTATCATCTGGTCGCGTTTCGTCCGATTATACTGTGCTGTGTATAATGGTTTGAATCACGGGAGAACCACAGGAAGGTGGCCCCGAATAAACTCTACTTTTACCAGAGCAACCGTGTGTCATTGTAAATCTGAGTCTCCCCTCTTCCCGAATCCTGGCACCGACGAGCCGATCCGTGGCGTCGGGAAAGGTGCTTCGTTACACATTTAATATTCCTGAAAAAGAATTTAAAGTTATATAGATTGACAAAACATCTAACACAAATTCTTGTAGAAGAATTAGAGCCATATATTTCTTTACGCGAAAAGCTGTCGCAATCCCAAATTATATTAAAGTAAAGAGTTAAAAATTTATATAAAAAATGCATTAATTATTTAGACGACAAATAATATATATAAATCTTTTATCAATAATAGGTATTATGTGCTCTAAATTTTATGCTCAAGGCAGTTATCAAAAATCTGTTAGCGCTGATACTAAATAAATATTGCACAGTCTACAGTTAGCATAATTTTAAAAAAAGTTACATCTGCAATAAATGACCATATGTTAAGACAATAGATACATTTTCCCATAACTCAACAAGAAAATCAGGAAATTGTACAAAAGTAAAAAACAATATTATAACTACAATATATTGTTATACTATATTTAACACATTAATACGAGAATTAATAATTAATTTAAAAATTAATACACAATAACATTTTAAAATATTATAAACATTCCAAACATACATTATAAACATTAATTTAACATTATAAACATTAATTTAACATTATAAACATACGCAATATTATTCTGTCGATGATTCTTCGTTTTCGTCATTATTTTTTTTGTTGATTTGTTCGGCGTCTGCAAAATTTGTAACGATGCACCCCCCATCATTCCCGACTGCATGTCGGAAGGCTGCGCCCGGCGCAGCGGGCGCATACGCGCCACCCTAATCTTTCTCATATAGTCGCCGAAGCGACTTATAATTCGTATACGACACAAGGGGCGGAATTCATAGATGTTTCTTGAGTTTCAAGACAACCTTAAGCTAGTGCTTAAGATCGTGATAGTTTCATGAACATTTCTAAAGACCGATTTTCAAACTGAAACTTGAGATCATGCTTAATGAAGCAAATTCTGTTTCATAGTCAAATCTTAAGTACGACTTAAAATTATTAGATGCACAATCATGACTCAAACCATATCTTGAGCAGGTCTTAATGAAGTCCAGTAAATTGTAGACTTAAGACGGTTGTGAAATAAAGTGCTGTATAGGTTATATAAAATAAAATAGTTATGTATCAATTATATTAAAATTATTTTAAAAATAAACATTTAATCCTATATACGATATTAATTAATTATTTATAATACATTTATTACAAATTTACATAATATTTATTATTTTGAGGTTTTATATTTACATTAAAGGTATTATGGAATTTAATATATTGGGCCAGTTTGACATTAACTTGTTTGAAAGTTCTGATTCCTCTTCTGATGAAGAAAATGACGAAAATGAAGAAATTGGCATAATACGTGAAAAACGATATGTGCGAGATGCAATTAATCCATTTACAGCTTATCGTGAACACGAATTTCATATAAGATATAGATTCTCAAAAATTCTGTTATGCATGGATTATTGCCTTTGGTTATAAATGGTTTAACAAAGCCTGATAATCGAGGTCTTCCTATTGAACCAGTTATTCAATTGCTTATTTGTTTAAGATATTATGCTACCAGCAGTTTTCAAGTAAATTCTCTATATTACATATCATTAATTTTAAAAGAGACATAAATAATTGTATTATATATTTTATGTTTTAGAAAGTAAACGGAGATCTTATGAAATTACCACAACCAACAATTAGTAGAATTATATTTAGAGTAACTATGATATTAGCATCTTATTTGAATAGTCATGTTAAATTTGTGACACATGAAGGAGCTATACAAGAAAACCGCAGATTATTTAAAGAATTAGGATATGGGAGATTTGGAGCTATTGGACTTCCTTACATTGATGGGGCAATAGACTGCACACACATTAGATTATTAAGTAATAATTTCGGGGGACTGGCTGAAATGTATAGAAATAGAAAAGGATATTTCTCTTTAAATGTCCAGGTAAAGTAATAAAATTATGTTTCTATTTTACTAATATTTATTTGTTTTTATTGTCTTATTCTTTATTTATTGTATAAGGCTATCGTGGGACCACGCATGGAATTTTTAGATCTCGTCCCAGAATGGCCAGGAAGGGAACACGATAGCAGAATTTTCCAAAATTCTAGAATTTTTATGCGGTATCAACAACGTGAATTAACAGGAATGATAGTTGGAGATTCTGGATATCCTGCTCTTACATTTCTGTTAACACCATTCAGAAATCCTCAAAATGAAGAGGAACAAAAGTTAGATATTAAAAATTGAAATTAATAAATTTTGAAGTTTCTGGTTTTTTAATATACATACATATATTAATAATAAAAATTTTATCGAAGATATAATGAAATTCAATCAAGAACACGAATGGTTGTTGAAAGAACTTTTGGAGTATGGAAGAGACGATTTCCTTGCTTATCAAGAGGATTGTCTTTAAAACTTGTAACATGTACTGGAGTCGTATCAGCGTGTGCAGTTTTACATAATTTAGCACTATATTTTAAAGATGTGCTTCCAGAAGAACCAGAAGTTGATGTAATAATTGAAGATAATGAAGAGCTTTATTACAATGAACTTCAGCAACCTGGAGATGGTTTTATTGTCAGGCAAACATAGTTCGAGATTTATTTCGTTAACCTTAATGTAATGATATTAATTTTTAATTTTATGTTCCATTCATACATTTTTACGTTATAATCCAACTATATATTTCAAATCTTATATTGGATTGCATTTTCTATTATATTAAACTTTCCAAAATGTTTTGATAATGTTAGTCATGATCATCATAGCGTCAATGAAAAGTTAGAGGTCCGTTATCTATAATTTTTAAGTAAATTCTGGCAGCCTCAATGTATTTAAAAAATTCTTTAGAAATCAAAGAGTAAATCATTAATTTTATTTTGTCATTTTATTACACTTTATTTTGTATTACATATTTGTTAATAATATGTATAATATATATACTAAGATAATCATATGATATAATACTCTTAACATAATTCAAAATAAAATACAACATAACACAATATAATGCTGATAACATAATATAAAAAAATAATAATTTTTTAAAACTAGATTTCACTTCTTTTGACTAGTATTCTCAGTCTTATTTAACTTTTAAATTAAAAATATAATGTAATAAAAATAAAATAAGTGTAATTATAAACAATAATTTAGTAATAATAAAAATTAATGTAATAACATTATTTATAACTTAGTATTCACAGCGAATATTTTAGAAATTTTTTTCTACTCATCATCTGAGATATAATGTTCTCCCCTAGAATTTAAAAAACCTTTTTAAATTAAAATTTTATTTATAACTGAAGGGAAAAAGTCATTACTTACATTTCTCTTTGAGCACGAAATTTCGCTATTTAGCTCTTTCTTGTAACTCTTTTTTTTCTAAGAACAACTTTTTAATCGTCATTTTATTAATAAACTGTTCTCGTTTCTTTTTTAAGTTTACATATTTCGATTTCATGATTAATTTTTATATCTGCCAATTCCATTTCTTTGTCACATATTATAGTCTTCTTTCAGTTTTCTGTTTCTTTGAATTGGACCGTGATGTAGCATTTCTATTTTTGTTTCTCTTAAGTTCTCTATCTGATAAAATTGAATTTTCTTTTTCTGTAAAACATTATTTTCATATGTTAAAAATGAACAGCTTTTAATTTAAAATAATAGCTGCTTTTGCGACACAATCAAAATGATCCAGATTAAAATGATCCTGCGCTGTGATTGAATCCGAAATTTCTTTGAACATAATTCAAAAAAATTACAAATTTCAATCACAGCGCAGAATTATTTTAATGTGAATCATTTTGAATCTGTCGCGAAAGCAGCCAATATTTCATATTGTTTTACCAGATTCATTATTAGACTCTTTATCTATTGTATCATATATTGTATCATCCATTTCAAATTCCATGTCGTCAATGTTAAATGCTGGTTCATTAGATGTTAGTAATTTTTGTGTCTTCAAACACTCTCCACTAGCAATGTAATCAATTTTGGTCGAAGCATTCTGCTGAATTGCTTTTAAAACCTTTATTTGTCGATCTAAAATATTGAATTTAATCATTTTATCATTTAAGTTAAAAGAATTTATATATATTATTTATATATTATCACTTATATAAGCTTATATATTGCTTTTATATTCCTGCATACAAAAGTTACTTAGGTCCAATTGCACCAATGTTATTTGGGCTTTAAGCGAGACTTAAATATATATCCATTTTCTTTCTACATAAAGGCAGACACATATTTAAGTCTAGCTTAAAGCCAAAATAACATTAGTGCAATATCAGACCTTAAAGAAATGGTTGATGTTGTCATGAAATCAGATACAAGTACCTTCATATTCCGCCTTAGAAAAGTTACTTGAAGAAATGGTTGGTGCTGTTGTCATCAAATCAGGGACAATGTCTAAAACATTTGGATCAACTTCAGCAATATTTTTTGTGGTCCTCCTCCTGTGAGAAATCTTGATTGTCTTTCAGTTGTTAATATATTTTTATTTGCTGTTTTAAATTAGACCAATACTTCCTCAACTGTTGTACATCTCTCTATAATATAAAAACTATTTATATTTCAAAGAGAATTGATAAAATAGTAAAAATAATAAAGTAAATTTTATACTTTAGTAGAAATTAAGGAAGAGTTATTATATTCTTCCATAATAATAGACCAAGCCTCTGACTTCTCTTTTAACGTGGAGGTATTTGTACCTTTCGATTCAACAATATGTTTGTATTTTTTTAAGATCTCAAGAATACTTGTTTTTCCAAATCTGAATATACCGTTCTTTTAGACATTATCTTTCTAAAAAATTTTTTGAAAACAAAATTTTAAGAAAATGCAAAGGAAATAGATAATAGATTTTCACAACAAAATAGATAAGGTTAAGTTTTCTCTGTTAAATAAATATTATAGTAAATATATAACAGTAATAATATCATAATTTTTCTCAATTTTTACTCACAATATACGCTAGTAAAGTAAAATAAATTAGTAAAATCTACCGTTTATTAGAATCTCGACAATGTATTTCTGATGACAGCGAAGACACACGTTTCTCTATGTATACTTTTAGATATTGAAATGTCATTGGTCAAATTTTAGGGAATTCCGAATATTTCCGAAGTTGGATGCTTAAGAATGAACTTTACTAAGACAGTCTTAAGCTTTAACCTGATTCTTCAAGACTCGTTTGTGCATATAGGACATTCTCAAGATAATTTTGGACGCTAAGTTCATCTTGGCGAAGACTATCTTAAGACAGATTTTAAGCAACATCTATGAATTCCACCCAAGGTTTTGATTATATGGCCTCGATACGTAATACATAGAAGCGAAATTGCATTTACGATTGACGGAGACAGGCCGAAAACCGCCGGCAGTAAAAAGTCCTGTTAGTTCTCATCTTATATATATTATTTTCGAGCCGCCGAATAATCCGCCGCAGTTCAAGTATAAATAAGTCGAAAAACTGAGCAGACAATTCC